TATCCCCTTTCATTTCTTCTATGGATTGTCACTTTAGCACTGAGCTAGAAGTCCCTGTCTTTGAAACTGGGCATACAACTTCATTTGGCTATAGCTCATGGAAATTGAGCTGTCCTACTTTGGGCCAGCTGAAATCTTTATTCAATCCTAGTCAAATATTCAGATGCCATCTGGTCAGAGTGTCATGGTCAGTTTGTTACCCTGATGTGAGAAAACTTTGATCTTCCAATATAATGGGACCTGAGGTGCTGGTTACCCTGTGAACACCTCGAGTTGCTTTGTAGGAAGAGGTAAATGACAACTATTTATCAGAGAACACAGTTGCTTTCAGGATATGCTTCTTTGGATCTGTTGTGCTTGTGGCCTCTTTATCAATCTCATTTCCTTCTTTCTTTCTGAGTATTATCACCTCAATCTTCTTGGAGTTGGTTTTCAGCTAACTAGATTTCTGAGCTGATTTCATGTCCTATCTAGTTTCCCAAAGTTTGGACCAAGAAAAACTACCACAAAAATACGTTCTTTGTCAATGAGTTTTTTGTTTTTGTTTTTTGGTACCAGGGATCAAACTCAGGACCTTGTGCTTGTGAGGCAGGCGTGGTGCCACTGAGCTAAATCTCTGGCCCTTGTCAATGAGTTCTTTCTTAACTGTTTTAGCTGTTCATCCTCTGAAGACAGATACAAGATGTATAGATCATTGGGGATTTGTTGTGAAGAATGACAAGGTTTAGGACTTACTGATAATTTTAGTGTAAGAACTAAGTGGGGAATCCGAGTAGGGTGAAAATGTCCACTTGGCTCTAAATCAGTAGTCGTTGCCAAAAAGTAGTAATTTTTTTCTCTTATGCAAATGGCAAAAGAAATATTTTTTAGATGACTGGTGGACAGTTTTCCTCTGGAGAGGAGAAGAAAATGGCTGTTTAGTAAGTTAATTACCTGTAACGTTAGACAGCTGTGAAACTTATGAGGCATGAAAGAGGAGTAGGCCCACCTCCCCTGCTCCTTGGGCTGGAAACCAGGTGATGGAAGTCTTTGTAGGCCGGAGTATCGGCAAGTGTTTGAAGAGTCTTTTACCAAATTTGGATGGTCACTTGATTTTATTTTTATTATTACTCGTTTAACAGTGCCAAAAGTTTATTTGAAAAGTGAGGGTGAAGGTGTAAAGGAGAAACTGGCTCTGTAAAGCAAACTTGGGCTGAACAAAATAGGAAATAAACGAAGCAAAAATAAAAATACCCCCTGGATCTGGGAGACTCAGGGTAGACTACTGGGAAGAGTCACGATACCAGCCATTTGATTTTAGAACCCGAATTCCCTAACCTGCTATTATGCAGTGTCAGTGACTCTTTTGTTTTGTTTTGTTTTTGTGTGTTTTTTTTTATTCAGGGTCCCAGTATGTAGCCCAAGCTGACCTCCAACTAGTGACCCTCCATCCTCAGCCTCCCGAGTGCTATTTATTTATTTATTTTTTAATTTTTTTGGTACTGGGGATTGAACTCAGGACCTTGCACTTGTGAGCCAGGTGCAGCATCACTGAGCTAAATCCCCAGCCCTATTTATTTATTTTTTTTCCAGTGCTGAGGATGGAACCTAGGGCTTGGTTCATGCCAAACAAGAACTTTATCATTGAGATACATCTCTAGCACAGTGTATGATATTAAATAGGGTAGATAGGAGCTGATCATGATGGCACACACCTGTAATCCCAGCACTTTGAGAGCCTTAGGCAAGAGGATTAAAAGTTTGAGCCAAGCCTGGGCAACTCAGTGATTTAATGATACCCTTTCTCAAAATAAGAAATGAGCTAGAAGTATATCTATGTTCAAAGGGTTCATACCCGTGTACAAGTATTTAAGAAAAATTTACTGCAAAGTTAACATTTGAACAAAGTCCTGAATGAAGGGAGATAGGAGAAATTTAAGGCAGAAAGCATTCTAGGAAAGGAGAACAGGAAAGTGCAAAGAATCAGAAGCAGGAACCACAAGGAAGTTAGTGTGGCCAGAGTAAAGTAACAGCAGGGAGAAAAGAAGGTGCTAAAGAAGAACTAAGACCAGATTGTTTTGAGACATGAAGGTCATGTTAAGGACTCATTGGAGAGTTGTAAGCATAAAAGTGATTATAACATGATTTGATATTAAAAAAAATATATATGTGTTGCTGTGTTGAGAATAGATCCAGAAGGAAGTTCAGGGCAGAAACAGAGGGACCATTTAGGATTCAGGACACTATTGCATAAATCCAGGGAGACTGTGCAGTGACTTGAACCCTCTGATAACCATTGAGGTTTTTTGTTTTTTTGTTTTTAGTGGTACTAGGCATTGAACCTAGGGAGCTGCGCTTGCTAGACAAGTGCTGTACCACTGAGGTACATCTTAAGCCCCCACTACACCCTAAGGCCCCACTGGGGTCTAAAGAATTGGTAAGATCCTGGATATATTTTGGAGGTTGTGTTGATAGGACTTCCCAGTGGGTCGGTTATGGAGTTCTTTTGGTTGATAACTTCTGAAAAGATGGAAAAACCATGTATTGTGCTGGCAGAAGTGGTAGGGGGGAATAAGATGTATTATGTACATGTACCAGTTCCCCAAAATGAATATAATCATTATATACTAAAAACATGTACTAATAGAAATAAGGAAACAAAAACAAAAACCAGGTATTGAAAGGGATATGGATAAGAAGCAAGTTTGGAAAGAAAATTCAGGACCTTGAGTTTTAAATTTTATTTTGTTTTTATTATGGTAAAATATACATAACATAAAATGTATTATTTTAACCGTATTTAAGTGTTACAGTTTAATGGCACTAAGTACCTTCATGAAATTGTACAGTCATCTGCACATCATGAAATTGTACAGTCATCTGCACTTTGGCGTCCCTTCAGCCCTCCGCGCCGTCTGTTCTACTTTGTCTGTGTGAATGTGCCTGCTATAAGTACCTTATATAAATAAAATCATACAGTGTTTTGTCCTTGTGAGTGTGAGGTGGCATCTCATTGTAGTTTTGATTTATGTTTCCAGGACCTTGAAAAATCTATATAAATAGCCTTTTTCACTCTTGACGCTAAAGGAGAGCAACAAGGTTATAAAACTAGAGTGAAGAGGTCTGAGTCTTGACTCCTGCAATGCTTAACACTTAGAGACTGGAGAGAGGAACAACCAGCAAAGTAGCAAAACCAAGAAGAGTTTTAGTGATATCCAGAAGTTAAGTGAGGAATGAGCAGAAGAACAATTCTCTTGGACTGAAATCCAGCTCAGTATTAGAGCCCTAACCTGTGTGAGGGATTGAGTTTGATTCTGAGCATTGAAAAAAAAATTTTTTTTGTCAAGTTCTACAAATAGATCAATTAATGAGAACTGAGAATTGACCATTTGGTTTAGCAACACGAAAGCCAGCAGTAACCTTTGTTACTGCTTGTGTCTAGATGTCCCCTAAGCCCCATGCAGTCATAGGTGGGAGTTTCAAAGGTGGCTGGATTAGAGTGTGTGATGCTAGGATTAAGGGTATGTGATTACTAAATTAGTCCACTGATTGCTTTGGCATAGTTCTGGATGTGGATAATGGGAAGGCTCACCCTGGGTAGATCTCGTAATAGAATTTACTTCCTTCTAAAACCACTAATAACAACTAAGCTCTGCTTTTCTTTGAGTTCTAAGGATCTAGGGCATAAGGAAATAAGAGGGTTTGCTCTCCCATCTTTACTCCCTTCACCATGAATATTCATTTATTTATCTTATTTATAGCCAAGTTCTCTCTTAAGTTGCTCAGGCTGGCCTCAGACTTGGGATCCTCCTGCCTCAGCTTCCCATGTAGCTCAGATTTTAGGCATGCACCATCATGCCAAGCCTAAATTTATGTTTTATCAAGTACATGCCACACCTGTCCCATACTCAAAGCCATGGTATGTGGGCAGGATCAAAAGCTACTAAAAATCCCTTCAGTTTTTCCTAAAACATAACTTACAACCTTGGATACAGTCGTTCACAAAGATATTTAACTATTTATACCTCTACTAGTTAACAGAGAAATTTGAATTTTTTCATATTTTTTTCGGAGATCTCTATTTCTACTTTAGTTCTTTGATCTTTAGAAGATAGATTATTAACAGGTGAATAAGACTAGAAAATAATTTTATACTGTTGATGGTTAGTTACCAAGAGAACGCTTCTCTGGTAATTAAGTCTGACCCAGATGCCTCTTATTCATATTTGTCCAATATATTAAAAACAAGACGTCCCAAAATAAGAAATAATGAAACACCAGATTAGTTGGTCATGGCTACAGAACATTTTCTGCTAACCCAATTCTTCCTTAAATTGCAATGGTGTAGATAGCTTAGTCTTACTTAGGTTCTGTGTCTGTTTTTTGCAGAAGGAATAGAAGTCCTAAGTACTCAGGCAAGCTCATTTTGTAATAAGAGATCCAGAACAGAAAATTCTAAACAATTTTCAGAATTGCTCCACCAGTTACTTTTACCCTAAGTAGATCTGGACTGCATCCAGCAAAACAGCTTTTGCATGTTCATACCTTTCAGAATGAATCATCTTCCTTCCTTTTAGTGAGAGGACTGCGTGTACTGTTTCTGGCAGAATTTCCACAAATGTTTTACTTTTTATAAGTTTCCTAGTGCTTCACTTGAGTTGAACCTAGGGGATGCCTGATGTTCCTCAAGGAGACCTGTGATTCTCCCAACTCACATTTGCTCGTATTAAAAGCATGGTTAGTTCTGATCCTCTCATAACTGTGTCAGGCACCCTTTGTTTATGAGGCTGTTCCTATTATAAGAGGGTGAAAAGTGGCAGTCAACAGACTATAATACTATGATATGGTATAAAGAAAGGTGAAATTTTGTTCTTGCTTGTTGAGCATAATCCTTTTTGCTTGTGAAATGGAAAGTACTATTGTCAGAATGTTGGAGATGAAATCTGGGACATCTTTTGATCTCTTTTAAAATTCAAAATTTGTCCCAGCTAGCCTGAATTTTTAAATTTCATATTTTACAGTTTCCAGACATCAGTCAAGAATCTGATTCTCCATTTGTTTTCATCTGCAAAAATCCCCAGGAAATGATTGTGAAGTTTCCTATTAAAGGAAATCCAAAAATCTGTAAGTCACAAACTTTGATGGTCTAATTTTATTTTCCTTTCTTTTTTTTTTTGTCTTGCATTTCATTTGTCTAACTTTTCATTGTTATTTGTTTGTTTTTGAGGAATGTTCTCTCTCTTTAGCGTAGGCTGGCCTCAAACTTTCAGTCCTCCTGCTTCAGCCTTCTGAGTGCTGGGATCACAGGCATATACCATCATACTTGGCTCATTTGTCTAACTTTTTAAAAAAAGGGCAAAGAGGGCCAGGGATTTAGCTCAGTGGTGCTGATGTCTGCTTCTCAAGCACAAGCTCCAGATTTCAATCCCCGGTATGCGCCCCCCAAAATAAATAAATAATTTTAAAAGGCCAAGGGCCTGGGCATGGAGGTACATGCCTGTAATCCTAGCACTTGGGAGGCTGAGGCAGGAAGACCGCTGTGAGTTCAAGGTCAGCCTGGGCTACATAGTAAGTTTAAGGCCAGCCTCACCTACATTGCAAGACTGTCTCAAAAAAGGATGGGAGGTGGGGCTGGGGATTTAGCTCAGTGGCTCCCCTGCCTGCCTCACAAGCGCAAGGACCCAAGTTTGATCCCCAGTAACAAAAAAAAAAAAAAAAAAATGGTGGGAGGGCAAGTAAAGGTACATTTTTTTACAACTCAGATCTTAGGTAGGAGGATCATGAGTTCAAGGCCAGCTTGGACTACATGGTGAGACCCTGTCTCGAGAGAGAGAGAGGAAAAAAAAAATTTCAGCTCTGTTCTGTGGCATCTGTAGTGTTGGAGGTTAATATAATCATATTAGCAATAGCTAAATCATATTAATTACAGTATAGCCTTTACAATATATACCTTGAAGCCAGTCATGGTGGTGCATGCCTGTGATCCCAGCACTTAAATGTTGAGACAGAAGGATCCCTGGGAGTTCGAGGCCAGCCTGAACTATATAGTGAGACCCTGTCGCAAACAACCAGAAAAAAAAAAGCGTACCTTGATCCACAATTGTTGGCATGATAGTGAATCTCTATCACTCTAAAGTTCTATTTAGGAATCCACTACATTAAATGCTATTTGTTAGCCAAAAGAGGATGCTTTGCCCAATTGTACTGCTCATCACAGTACTGAAGCAGCAGGCCAATGTCAGTGGCAATGCTGTCATTTATCCATTGTTCTTCAGTATTTCATCCAAGAATAGCACTTAACATCTTGTTTACTTTTTTATTTGTATTCTTTTTTTTTGGTACCAGGGATCCAACTCAGGACCTTGTGCCTGTGAGGCAGGTGCCACTGAGCTAAATCCCCAGCCCCTTTTTATTTGTATTCTTAAAAATCTCTTTTTTGTACTGGAGATTGAATCCAGGGCCTGCACATGCAAGCACATTGTCTACCACCGAGCCATCCCCTCACCTCTTAGGTATTTATTTATGAGCATCTATTTTGGAAGTACTACTTTCCCTATTTCCCTTGGTTATTGCTTCCTGTAGTGTTGCCCTGGCCTTCTTGCTTTTCATTCTTGTTTTGTAACCTCTTCAAATGATCTCTTCTTGTGTGACTTTTGCTCTCAGGTATTTGTGGTTATAGTATTCTCCGCATATGCCCTTTCCCAGACTTGTTTTCTCCTTTTAATTCTTCAACTCCCAACTTCTCTTCTTCTGTCTAATCCTAGAGTAGTCTCTTCCATTTCAAATCAGTCTCAGAGACGCATAGTGATGTCTTACTTGCCTAACCGCCTTTGCAAAACAGCACCACCACCTACCATGTGCTGTCAGTTACTGCTTTGTGCCTCCTGTCACTTCTTTCTGGTGGTGTGAATTGGATGACTCAGGGGCACACATTGTCGTCTTTTGTGCACAACTCTGCCTTCCTCTCTCTATACCTCAGGGACCAACTAGCCATTTTTATGTCTTTTCTCTTCAGAAGTCCTTCTCTAACCCAGAAGAAAATAAAAGCCACCTGGTAAGCTGTTAAACACAGGTCCCCGGACCTTGCTCTCTGATGATAGTGATGCATTTGGCTAGTTGACTACACTTTAATACTGCTTTTCATCACAGAATGAAATGCTTGCAGTATGAAATTAGATTAATGTATATACGCAGCAAAATTCAGGCAACCCTTGTGATTGATAAGACATTTTCCCAAGATTCCTAAAAGTCAGAAAATCTAAACAAAGTTGCCTTTGATTTACACAGACTGGGACTTCAGACTTTGACTTAAGATGATGCTGCAGTTGGTGGTCTGACAACCCTAGAATTCCTTTTTCTTTTCCACTATTTAGGATTTAAATGTCCCTCTACTTGCCTTCAGTTTTAGTTGCAGCACTCCACCCCTTCCTTCAGTCCTTACCTTGCTCTAGGAACTGGTGGCCCCACAGGGGGAGGAGGACAAGACAGTAAGTGTTATCTCTCAGACCATTATTACTTGATCTTTAGTCCCAGTTCCCTTTTCTTAGCTTCTTCCCCATCTTGGTTTTCTTCTTTTCTTTTCTTGTAAGCTCCTGTGAGAAAATGTTCTGTGTAAACAGAGTTTAGGTCTTTCTCTACTACTTTCTTCACCCAGAGACCTAGATGGCCTTTGTTTTTTTCCTAAGAGCTAGAAGGGAGTGATGCTCTTAGAAAAAAGTTTTAATAGCTTCTTGTTTTTTCCCTTATCTTATTTCTGTTAATGATAGACCAGCAAGGTGAAACATTAGTTAAAAACAGTGGGAATTTTTTAAAATTTTGAGACAGGGTCTTGCTATGCAGCCTAGGCTGGCCTTGAACTCATGACCCTCCTTCCTCGGGCTCTCGAATAGTGGGATTACAGGCATTCACTATAATGCCCAGCTTCATAGTGAACACTTTTTAAAAAGTAAGGAGTAGGTTGGCTAATCTCTATGTATCTCAGAAAGTATTTCTATTGAGAGTGAGTCAGCATGATCTGAGAATTAATTGAGTGTGAAGTTTCTGTTCCCTGTATCTCCTCCTTCCCTCATCCTACATTCCTCTTTACCCTCTTTAAAAGTCTTCCACTTTTGACAAGTGTGGTGGTGCATGCCTGTAATCCCAGCACTGGGGAGGCTGAGGCAGGAGGTTCACTGCAAATTCGAGGCCAGCCTGTGTTGCATAGTGAGTTCAAAGCCATCCTGAATTACTCAGACCCTGTCTCAAAAAACAAAAACAAAAACAAAACAAAACAAAAATATCCTTCCCACTTTTCTGAATTCCCTTCCTTTACACCCATGGGGATAACTCCAGTATTTTAGAAATAGAAAAGTTTTCAATCTCAGTACCACATGAAATGATTAAGTTCTGTAATACTAATAGTATTACTCCTCATAATCTACTTATACCTCTATGGCTTAAATTTGTGTGTGTGTGTGGAATGGCTTAGGAGCCTGGTCACCCTTTATAAGTTAGTTCTATGAGAAATGTATTCTGAGTTCCAAACTTTTGACTTGCAAGCAGACTTTTAGAATATGCCTTGTAGGGCTAGGGATTTAGCTCAGTGGCTCTGCCGCCTGCCTCACAAGCACAAGGTCCCGAGTTCAATCCCTGGTACCAAAAAAACCCAAACAAAAAGAATATGCCTTGTTTATCCTGTTATATCACATGTGTGTACATGTACATATTCCTTAAGTTAAAGGTGTATATTTTGATTTGTTTGGGGGAACATGAACTTGATTGACCTCGGGAAAATGTCTCATGAAATTAAAATAATTCAGAAAACAACAGTATGCAATATATTATCATTTGGCTTCATGTTTGCTCAAATTAAGAAGAGCAAAAAAAGTGAAGTTTAGTAGTAGGATATATAAGTTGAATACTTAAAAGAGATAAAGGAAATTTTCTTTTGTATGGTGGTGAGGATTTAATCCAGGCCTTGCCCATGCTAGGCAAGTGGTTTGCTTCTGAGAAACACCCTAGCTCACAAATTTCTTTTTCTTTCAATTGCATGCTCTATAAAGTCACGCAAATACTGCCTTGTCTCTCCTGCAAAGCATGTGAAAATCCTTATGAGAGCTATATGGGTTGATGACAGATACTCTTTCCCCTTATAATTTTTTGCCGATCTGCTGTGCATGCACTGGATGTTCTTTTAGGTACTGTGATTGAGGATGTCGTTTAACACTGAAGTGCTCTAAGTGCTAAATGTGAAAATAATGGGGAAATACAGAAAATAAGCATTGTCACCTTCCTGCTGAGAGAGTATACTTGTATGCTCCTATAGTTCACCATCCAGATCCTAAGCTTGCAAGAGCAGGCTGAACTGAACTCAGAGCTCAGAGTTCCTGCAATACAAGGGCAGTGGTGATGGCTGCCTCTGGCCTTAAGAAGCCCCAGTCCCTTGCTTCATTGCCACAGTTAGCTAAAGAGTTGGTGCTGTTGGCAGTTACTCTGGTAGATGTTACAGATTTGACTGAGTCCTTGATTGTAAAGAGTTCATGGGTTACTTGTACACATCTGATCGTCCTAGGCAGCCTAAGGGATTAAATAATTTTTAATCAACTCCTTTGTTTTGATGGGTTGATTTTACCTGAGCTGATCCTGCTTGATGCCTGTCACAGTTAGATTGGGATTTTCTGAAACTTAGACTTGGAATGTTCTTACACAGTAGAACTTTGAGAATGTGAAGGTGATAATCTGTTTTTTAACGTGAGGAATCTGACACAGATATAATTTAAACACTTGCTTGGGGATGTATGGTAACTTAAAGGCAAAACTGAGACCATAACTAAGGAACACAGTTGTTAAAACTCAGCATAAATAACAAAAGCACCCTCACTTTTTTCAGGGAACTTTGAGTTTATGAAGCACTTTAAAATACACATTTGGTCCTCCATATATGTGAGTTTTGCATCCGTGAATTCAGCCAAGGAAGGGTCAAAAATATTCTGGGGGGGAAAATTACAGCTGTATTGAACATGTACAGACTTTTTCCTTTATCATTATTCCCTATATAATAGAACAACTATTTGCATGGCATTTTCATTGTGTTAAGTATCATAAGTAATCTAGAGATGATTGTACAGGTGGATGTATGTAGGGTATTTGCAAGTACTGAACTGTAAGAGGCCAACCTCTGTGGATGTAGGCATCCATGGGGATCCTAGATCCAGTCCTCCGCTGATACTGAGAGGTAGCTATTATGTCAGTTATTTGATTGAATGACTTAGAATATATAAAGTATTTAGCACAGTAACTCATATATAGAAAGAGCATAATGTTAGCTGTAATCATCTCAATAGCTCTGTTAGGGTTTTTTATTCCTGCTTTCATTGTATAGTTAAGTAAACAGGTTTACAAAAGTTATGTTTCATTCAAGATTTTCTGGCTCTATGTTTCCTGCTCTTTTCGCTTTATCATATTGCCTTAGGAACAAATTAAGCCAATTTACATCTCACTTTTAGGGGACAATATCATAAAGTTGGAAAGGGCTTTCAGTACTGTTATCTGGTTTCCTCTTAGAGTTGAAAAAATTTAGGACAAGAGTGACTAGATATCTATAAGCTGCAAGATTATACAGCTATGTAGTCTCAGGAATAAAATTAAAGCTGGATTTTCCAATTTATTCTGTTCAGAGAATTGAATGTTTGGACTCCTAGAAGGAATTCTAAATTCTGTCCTAATCAATTCTAAAAAGCTGAATGAGACCCAGTGCTTACTTGTGCCTCTGAGTGTCACCACCTTTTACAACGTGTACTCTTAAGTTCATTGTTATCTGCTGTTTGGGGCTACTTAGTAGTCCCTGTTGTAGTGTCTACCTTCTTTGTTTAATTCATTTGATGAAAGCATTTATTGAGCATCTACCATTTGACAGTCGCTATGGTAATGTTAGGGACACAAAGGCAAACTTGCCTTGTAATTGGGCTCTTTGCCAGATTGCTGGTGCATGTTTGAGTTTCCAGCCAGGCAGCCTGCAGGATGAAAGAACTCCTAAATCCCTGGGAATGCCCTAACACTCTAAAACTCAAATTAAAATCAACAGCATTGTGACTGTTGTGGGTGGTATTCAGGGTACCACTTAGTGATGATTTCTGAGGAATCCCAGAAAAAGATGAAATGTTATTCCAGAAGCAGGAGTAATGAGAGAAATTGGGATGTAGGGATTTAGGGAAAATTGTTATGCTGAGTTTTTCTCCCAGTCTCCTTGTGCAGTTTCTTAATTGAACAAATGAGACCACTGAAATCCAGAGAGGCTGAATTTCTTGCCCACACTCCCAGTTTTTACAGCTACCTTGTTAATGCCAGAGAAGGATAGACTAGCACCTGGGCTCTCTGACTTCTAGTTCTTCTGGCTTTTTCTGTTATACCTGATTGTCCCCTAAACAAAAACGACAATGTACAAATGGCAGAGGTTATGAGTGTGCACCCCAGGCTCTTTATTTTTTAGTGCTGAAGCTGAACTGAACTGTGTTTCTATTTTTAGCATCAGCATCCCTGTTGACTTAGATGAGGCTTCTTGTTGGAGAAAGAAAATTGCAAGCTCTATTCTCAGGCCAGACAGTAACTTTACTAAAGATTCTCATGAGATAGATGGTTCCAAAAGCTGCTGCCAGTGAACCAAACTCTATCCTGGTAGATCCAAGATGTCAGAGTTTAGAGACTGCATCAATAAAGTACTTCCCTTTTGGATTACCTGGGATGGGTGAAGGTGGCCTCTTTTCTAAATTTAACACTTGGAAAAGTCATATAGCCCATGACCTTTACCCGTCTTAGCTGGTGATAGGGCCCCTTTGTCAGCAAAGCATTCATGTGGATTCTGCTCCACTGTTGCAGGTCAGTCCCCCTATTAAGTCTTAAGTCTGAGACAGCAAAGGGGTGAATTGAATGGTTTTCTCACTGTGATGGAGGATTTTGCATTATGCTCAGCCAGTTAACAGGTCAGCAGAATGGGTTTCCCACTGTGTGAATGCCTTCCTTTATTAGGTGTGTATTCATTCTCTAAGTCTCATTCATATTCTCTCTCTCACCCAGGGCCTTTGCACTGAGCTACATCCTTGGCCTTTTTCTTTTCCCTTTTTTAATTTTGAGGTGCTAAATCACTAAATTGCCCATGGTGGGCTTGAACTTGTGATCCTTCTGTCTCAGCCTCCCACAGTGCTGTGATTACAGGCATGTGCCACCACACTTGACTACATGTGTGCATTCTTTAAAAATTTGACTTAGCGGGCTAGAGATTTAGCTCAGTGGTTCTGCCGCCTGCCTCGCAAGCGCAAGAACCCAAGTTTGATCCCCGTTACCAAAAATTAAAAAATTTGACTTAGCATTGGACATCCTGAAAAACATGATGTTTCCTTTTCTAGGAGGTAGAAAATTAGAGATACTAACTTCTTAGATTCTTTCCACAAATACAGAGTATGTGTGTGTGTGTGTGTGTATGTGTGTGTGTATGTGTATCCCTATATAGGGTTCCCACTTCTTCCTCATTCTTAAAAATGAAACTCCAAAGTTTGTGTCTGAGTCCTGAAGCACGGTAATTAAATGTGACAGGAACACAGTAACCAGAAGATGTGGGAGGCCATGAAAAATTTGCATTGCAAATATAGAAAATAAATAATGAGACTTCTTTTTCTCCCTTACAGGGAAACTGGATTCTAAGATCCATCAAGGAGCAAAGAAGGGGTTAATGAAGCAGAATAAAGCTGTCTAATCCAAGAGAAAAGGAACCATACAGCATAATGGAGTTTTGTGTACTAAAACTGCTATCCACTGGTCCTTTGGAATTGAAATAGTAGAAATCAAAAGGCTTGAATCTCAGAATTTAAACTCTTACCAAATTCTGTATATTTTTGTTAAAGAATGGGATTCTTTGTGTAGTGGGTCGAAATCTTTGAATTTATTATTTATAAAAAATTTATTTTAAAAATTCTAGGTCTTCGACATTTTTCTCAGAATGGTGTTGGAGAAAGGAACAAGTGTCTTTTCTGAGATTTTTATTCGTTGCTAGGAAAATTCTTAACTTAGGTTATGATTTTTTTTTACAGAACTCCTTAGATTTAAAGTTTCTTTTCAAAGTGATAGTCTAGTAAAATTTTAGGATGTTTGAGGAATCCTGTGTTTAATACAAACTTGTTTTGGAACAAAAGGTTTTTAACAAGTTTTCTGCTCTGGTCCTACATCTCTTCAAGTGAAAAGTGAAAAGCTGAGTGACCCTCATTGGCAGATTTGGGGATGGGGGGGCGGGTAACCTGAACAAGTGCTTTCACTTTGTTCTTTGAGAAGCCAGGACACGGAAGGATTGGATTGTGAAGAAATGGAGCCACCTGCTAATTCAGCATGAAGCTATCCTATTTATTTTGTTGGAATTGCAAAAACATCACTTGGTTTGGGCAATTAGAAACAAATTGAAAAATAAAGTCCCTTCAGTAAATGCGTCCAAATACCCCCAAATGCCAAAACCAGACCTTATTTTAACTATCCATATCCCAAGAACCTATGAACTTTAGAAAACGAGGTAGATGTGAAATGAGATTTTCACTATCTCATCGAGCCCTACTTAGTGAAGATCTTTGTTTCTAAGACTGTTCTGAAGAGCTATCAGAATTTCAGTTGCTGGCATCCTAAGGAAATTCATGGTCTTAAATGCGTATGTTCTGCTTTTTATAACACAACACCACCACACTGGGGAAGTTGGACTCCCTCCAGCAGTTGTGTGCATGACTTAGAAAAGAGTGAAGATGAGAAAAAGTGCCCTGTGTTATGAAAAGATTAATTTCCCCTTTCTTTAATCCTTCATATTCAGCGTGTATTTGCATTGAAATGCCTCTACTCATTATACATTGATGTTCACTCAGCTGTGAACCCTGCTTGTTGCATACCTTGAGGCACTCTACTGCAGGGTCACTCTGGATTCTCAGGGAAAACTCGCTAGATTCTTGTTCCGGTGATGCACACATGCAGTATTCGCTTTCTTTTTCTGTTTACCCTCTGTGGGAAAAGTGGAAAGGACAACTAATGACATGTTTTTAGAGGGAAAAAGTCTTTGGTCTTCTGCAGACCCTACGATTAATGACATACTGGGTTCATTATGCAGTTAATAGTTTACCAAGCAATAGCACCTTGAATTCTGTGCTTAAGTTGTCTTGACTCTCTTCATACTAAAATAAAACTGAGGACCGGGGATTTAGCTCAGTGGTTTCACCACCTGCTGCACAAGCGCAAGGACCCGAGTTTGATCCCCAGTAGCAAAAATAAACAAACAAACAAATAAATAAATAAAATAAAACTGAAAGGCAAGAGGCAAAGATCCTAGGGAGGAAAAAAAAAAAGTTACTCTGCCTTGTGTTTAAGACAGCCGGCACACAGGAATCTGGATTGACTTTTCCACCTGGATGGATAGTGGGTGTACGCCTAAAGAAAAACCTCAGGAGCTGCACCAGATGATGTTACGCGACCATTTTGTGTGCTGTGATAACAAAGTTTACAAGAACTTTACAAGTTTACAGGAACCCACCTCAGCATCCAAAATACTTAGCTGGAACCACATGAGTAAATGGCAGAATAACTTGGAAACTTCTTTTCATGGTTAGACTGTGAAAGCCTGTCTTTAGTTCACATGGTGGTGGTAGCATAAAGTCTCTCTTTTATTCACAGAGACACTGGGGAGGAAGTGTGGGAGAAGCTTGAGGGTAGGTGAACCTCAGTTGCTCAGTGATGAATAGCATAATTTAAAGCCTAGTGGAAATTCTTAGCAACCGAAGTGCAAACTTGCCCGGGAATAGCTTGTCGGTGTTTTACAACATTTCATTCTGACTCCTAACTCTGGGACAGTCTGGCCTAAAGGGAAGTCTCGTGTTTCTCAGTTGGTTTTCTGTTGCAGCCTCAATAACTGTGCCACCTTTTGGATGGCTGGGTCCAGTTGCTATCAATTTGTATAGTTAAAAGAATCAGCTTTGGGGGCCTGGGATTTAGCTCAGTGGTTCCACTGCCTGCCTCACAAGCACAAGGTCCAGAGTTCGATCCCTGGTACCACACAAACAAAAAAAAGGATCCACTTTTGTTTTGTTTTTCCATGCAGGACCCAGTCTCATTTATATAAGCTTCTAGTGGGATGTGTATGAAACCACAGACTTTCTCTCTTAGGGTTTTAGAGACCATGGCCTTGCAGTGAGGTGTTTGGAATAGAGTAAGGATTTTTTTGCTTTGAGTTGTTTCCTATAGCTAATCTAGAGAAAGAAAACTAGGTGCCCCTTCTCTTTTAATAAGCTAGAAATTGCAGAATACTGAATAAAAAAACTGAAATCATAAAAAAAAAAAAAACCGAAAAAAAAAAAAAGCTAAAGGTTTACAGAAACCCATTTCCCTAAGGAGTAGGTATAAAAACATTTATACTTTAGATTACTTTAACAAATAATTATAAAGTTATGGGCTTTTATGAGTTATAACCCTCAATTTCTCCATTTTAACTACTGTCTCTACTAAAGTTCATTAATGTGGATTCCATTTAATTTAGTAATATTAAAAAAATGCTTTTGCTAGAGCTCTTAGCCAAGATGGAGACAGTACGGGGTGGTTCTCTGGGGCAGCTAAAAGACACCTATAAAAAGCAGACATCTATTAAACTAGAGAAATCCGTGAACTTCAGTCTGTTAGACCTGGAGGAGGATAGAAAGTGCAATGCTGGAGGCGTTTTGTTCCTTGCGATTCAAAGAGCAAGTACACATCTGCTGGTTTCAACTTCTGTGAATGTGTTAGGAGGGAGGTGAGCCACCTCCCAGGCTCAGCAGCAACAAGGGATTCATCCTGTGGAGGCTTTCCCACTCTCTCGCAAAGAAAATACATAGCTGCAGTGCCATCCTTTGACACAGACATTTGTGTAAATGTCCACTTAATATATGTGCACTTAATGTGGCCTAATTCATGGGATGAAATTGGTTAGGGTTAGGGCTGTGACTATGGGAGAACCCAGAAAGAAAACCTATAAAATGCACCTCCCTTAGAGTCAAAAATGGGGAGGAGGTGGTAACAGGATTAATAGGGAAATATGTTGCAGGAAAAGAGTAATCTTGGCATGGGAATCAAAAAGTAAACACATAAGATTTGAGAAAAGTCTAGAGCTCTACTGTTTAATATGGTAGCCACTAGCTGCATGGTTATTTAACTTAATTCAGGTGCCTGCCTAAGATGCACAAGGCCCTAGGATTGGTCCCTAGCACTGCAAAATAAATAAATTAATTTTAATTAAGGATTCAGTTCTTCTTTCACTGTTAACCATATCTCAAGCACTCAAACAGACCCATGTGGCTATTTAAACTGAACGGCACAGATACAGACCATTTTCACTTTACAAAAAGTTCTATCTGCCAGTGCTTGTCCGGAGCAAGGGTTGGCAGTTTTTCCATAAAGGGCCAGATCACAAGTATTTTAGGCTTTACAGGCCATACAGTCTATTACAACTATTCAACTCTGCTGTTAGAGTGCAAATGCATCCACAGATAATGTAAGTAAATATGCATGGCTACAATTATTTACATACACTGAAATATTTATGTCACAGAGTATTCTTTTGATTTTTTTTGAATGGGAATCAAACTCAGGACCTTCCATTTGCAAGGCAGGTGCAGTGCCACTGGGCTAAATCCACAGCTCTTTTGATTATTTTAACTATTTAAAAATATGAAAACCTGTTTTTATCTCATGAGACATATCAAAACAAGTGGTGAGTCTCTTTTCTTTTCTTTTTTTTTTTTTTTTTGGTACCTGGGATCGAACTCGGGTCCTTGCATTTGCGAGGCAGGCAACGGAACCACTGGGCTAAATCCCTGGCCTGTGTCTCTTTTCTTTTATGGCCATAGTTTGCCAGTCCTTGGATCACAGGTACAGGAAGTCAAAACTATTGATCCCTTGAAAATTTTTTGCGGGGGGGAAAAACAAAACTTTAGTGATTTTTTCCCAGGCTTTCTTTGACTAAACTGTAGAAATCACTTTCCCTTTTCCTCTTACTTTTGTAGTTTAGTCCTATCCATTAGTTATGATCCTTCAGGAGGAAATGAGTACTGGAATATTTAGCTCTGAATATGTCACATGTAAATAAATTTATTTTTGTCACATGTAAATTTAAAACATGAAACCGTTTTTTCTCTATTTACTAAGTAGATCAGTCTTCACTTGTAACATCATACAGTGCAGACTGTAAGTTTGCAGTCATCTAGCATCAGTTCTGCCCCTATACTGTCCAAGAACAATGAATATTGGTGGACCAAAGGTTCCTAGACCAGACAGGCTTAGCATTGTCTTTACCTTTCATCTTTCCCACCTTCCTTTTTGTGGAGATGGAGATGAGGAATAAAGGGATTTTATGAGTCATTCTATCTGCCAGGCACATGCTATATCTTAAGTGGCACTGGTGAAGGATGCCTCAGGATAAGCAGAGAAAGTTAAGATAACTGCAAAGCTGAATAAAATGGTAAGGGACACGGGAAAATCATACTAGGGGTTAAGTAGTGGGGAGCCTTGAGAATTAAGGTAATTTGCTAAGGCAGGAGGTGAAAGTTTAGCAGGTTGTGAAGAATATGCTCTTTCACAAGTAATGGAGGTTCGTGTAAACAGGGATTGAATGCCTACTGTGTACTAGATAGTTGAGCAATCAGAGATAAGGCAAGATAAAAGTTACAATGGATAGCAATAGAATGGTGGGTTGGGAAGGAGAGAATAAGACTTAGATAGTAAGGGCCAAGGATGTGGCTCAATTGTAGAGCGCTTGCCTAACACGCTAGAGGCCCTGGGTTAGATCCCCAGCGAGAGGGGGGAGGGGGAAGGAGAAGAGGGAGGAGGAGCTTTTAAATAAGTAATAAAAAGCAGCAAGATTTAGTGACACAGAATGGTGGGTTCAAAGGGATCCAGGAGGATTAGAAATGCTTGCTTTGTACGGAAAAACAAGTGGTAATTGTAAGGGGAAAAATGAGAACAAAGGATAAAAAAATTGGAAGGTTTGCTCAACTATGGGATGAAAAGGATGAAACTATCATGAGCTCTGTTTGCTCGTCTGTTTTTTGTGCACGTTCACGCTCAGACCCCAGGTAGGCCTCTCTGCGCCCCACGGTTGAAGGTCATCGTCGGAAATGGTGTCTTCTGTATTTAAGGTACAGCGCTTGTCCAGAGACCTCGCAGCGAGAAATCCGGTCCAGCGAGACTTTCCCTCTGCACACAGAGAGCGTTAGGTTCGGCCTATCCAACCCAGGTTTCCTCGACCTGATCTCTCAACCAGCTCGCCGGGTTTTCCAGCATTCCCGAGCCACAACTCTAATCCGGGCCCGTCTCGACCGACCGCGCATTCCGAGACCCAGGATTTGGCTCCGCTATCCAGGTTCCGGGTTTCCCCTGCGCTCACCCGCTCCAGACTCCACGCCCGCAGGGAATCCGGATCCAAGGGCCTCGCGATCCAGCGTCCGGGTCTTCCTGGTGGCCCTGGTTGTCTCGGATCGCGGCGGCGGTGGCGGCGGCGGCGGCGGCAGCGGCGGCGGCTGAGGGACCCGCGGCCCGGACACCGCGGCACCGGCCGGGCGGGGTGCG